GGGCCGTTGGACTTTGGCCTGACCGTATTCAGACGACCTCCTAGCTGCCGACCACTGTCAGATTTCCACTCGGCCGCATACCTCCGTCATGCTTTTGCCTGGCCGTTCTCGGACCACCATCCGGCCGTCGACTACTGCCGGATTTCCACGCGGCCGCCGACAACCGTTGGACTTCCTCTCACGACCAACCATTGTTGGTCCTCCACTGGGATGCCAAGTACGGCCCTTCTGACCTCTGTCGCTAGACAATGATCTTTCTAACCTCTGCCACTCGCCAATTACGGTCCTTCTGACATTCTTCGCTAGACAACGGTCTTTCCAACCTCCGTCGCCCACCGACTACGGTTCTTTTGACCTTCGTCGCCCACCAACTATGGTCCCGCCGACCAAACGAACATATCAATATTTATTCTTCCAATTTCCACCATGTATTGCACTCTATATGATGTATATTTGCTACATCAAATCAAAGCCTTCCTCCAAAGAAAGACCTCATTTGTAATTGACTGCAAACACTAGTGGAATCATTTCAACTGGACTAGCCCCCCGTAATTTTTTCCATTTTTAGGATTTTCCACGTAAAAATATTAGTGTCACTTATGACTCTGGCACCTCTTTTATTTATCTGTCCATGTGCTGAATTTTCGTATAAAACTAAGACGTTAGATTTTATATCTCTCTACTGGCGCGAATGTTCCAATCCGCAACATTCTAACCTGCTGAAAAAAGTTAGAAATATTCTAGTCACATACTTTCTCTTCAGTATGTAGAGCTCTATTTTAAAGTAAATCACCCTAATGAATTAAAGAAAAATAATTAAAATTTGGTAGAAAATAAAAATAACGCTTAAAAAAAAAAAAAAAAAAAAAAAAAAAAAAAAAAAAACTTACTCATTTGCTGCTCTTCAAGCTACCACTATGAGCTGCCCAGGATAATATCCTGAATCACAATCAATGACTGCTACATAATGATCAAGAAAATTATAATTAAATTAATATAAAACCTAAATCTTTTACAGGTTTTAAATAATCACAACAATCTTTTCATTCTTCTTAAACATTTTTCTAATTATACACAAGCTCATGTAGATATTCATAGACGTTACTATAATTATTTGAAAAAAATGTAATTAAATTTTTTTATTAGTACACGTGCTGTTTTCCTTCTTTCCCATAAATTAAATTCTATATTTCATTTAAATTTTATATTTTACCATTGATAAAATATAAAATTGATGGAGATATTCATAGACATTACATTAATTACAAATGTAATTATAAAATATTATAGCACATATGTGTATATATGTATAGAGAGAGAGAAAATTCACGGAGAAATTTATGCATGAATTAACAATAAAGATTACAAGTCCTTAAAGAATAATTAGCCCATAAAAATACAGCTATTAATAAATCAAGAAAAGGGGTCCATTTTATCAACTTCATAAAACACCCATAAACAAAGTAAGATCTATGCGTAAAGACCCTATCATAATCAAGATCATTAACAAGCTTGATCATAACATTCTTTTGATCCAATACAGTGACAGAAAAATCACCCGACAATTTGAGATTGAAAAAGAATTTTCTACTTGAATCTAGTGACGGCTGACGAAGCAGAAACTTTCCAACTAAAGCATAATCAAATGGCTTAGCAAGTTGTAAAACTTCAACCTCAGAGACTCATAACGCCGGCAAACCTCCAAGCGTAGTCTCTTTCAGGTCTGAAAATTCCACTGAAGAATCAGAATAAACTAACACATCTTTGAAAGATTTAGAAGGGTTCAGACAAGCAAGAAAGTCAGGATTGTTGCGCTTAAAGATGGATGCCATGAGAAAACCCACACAAAACCGCAAAAAAACCAAAGAGTAAAAGAAGGGAGCTAGTGAACATAAGAAAATCCAAGCAAAATCACAAGAGAACACACGAAAAAACTCAAGGAATCAGCGGCTAGGGCTCTGTCCTAGCCAAGAGAGGGCGAGAGCTGAACATGCGAGAGCACGCGCGCGAGTGTATGTGTGTGTGTATATACACTAATAAAGAATTTTAATTACATTTTTTCAAGTAATTAATGTAATGTCTATGAATATCTCCATCAGCTAGTGTATAATTAGGAAAATATTTAAGAAGGATGAAAAGATTGTTGTGTTTATTTAAAAGGGTAAAAATTTTAGGTTTTGTATTATATAACAGTCATTGACTGTGGTTCAGGATATTATCCTAGGAAGCTCATTGTGGTAGCTTGAAGAGCAGCAAATGAGTAAGTTTTCTTTCTCTCTTTTTTCTTCATTGTTTATGCATTATTTTCACCCAAAATTTAATTTTTTTTCTTTAATTCATGAGGGGTTTAATACCAATTCATTAACTTGATTTTTCCCTTTGGGAATGATGGTAGCTAGGCTTATAGAACCTAAATTTGTTCTAATTATGGAAGCTAATTTTTTCATTAATCAACAAGTGCTATATCGATAAAAATGAGTTCAAGATGTTCATTAGAAACAAAGGGCTTTTTGCAAGATCTACAATTTTATTTTAAATTCAATTTATCATGTATGGCACACTCACTCACTTGCCATAAAGGACCAAATAGTGGAAGAAAATTTCATAAAAGTCCTCAAAATCGGTCAAAAGATGATTGTGGGTATTTCAATTGAATGAATGAATAGTACAGCTTTGAGCACGATGAGTTCATGCATTGCGGGTGAACCGTGAATGAATGGAGAGTAGCATAGTGGCATTTTAAATGAGTGTTTTATGCATTATAGAAGTAAATATAATATCTTGAGTGTTAGATATATAAATAGAACATTATTATATGATATGTATGTGAATCCTCTCAAAAATTAATGCACTTCCACACTAATAACATAAAAATCCACTTCTATACATAAAAGGCAAGCATTCATATGCATATATCATCACTTAAACAAAGTACAAATATGGCGTCCAAATTAAACTAATCCAACATATAGCCGAACAAGTAGATCAGTTCATACTACAACAAAAATTAGAATTTTTTCAATCTAGGACAAAAAGTAACAAGAAATCACTTCTTTGATATTTTCTCTACATGAAGGTCCTTAAGTCAAACAGGTTTGCGCCTTGCTTGTGCTGCCTTGACTGTGGTAGCTCCTTCCCTTGAACGTGTGTGTCCTCGCTTATGCATTATAGAAATAAATATGATATTATGAGTGTTAAACATGTATTATATGATATGCGTGTAAATCCTCCCAAAAGCTAAGTTAATGCAATTCCACTCTAATAATATAAAAATTCACTTCCATACATAAAATACATGCTTTCATAACATTTATCATCACTTAAGAAAAGTAACCATATGGCATCCAAATTAAACTAATCGAACATATAACCCAACAAGTTGATCTAATACAAAAATAAAAAATATTTCACTCTATGACAAAAGGTGACAAGAAAGGTAACATACTAAAAATATAGAGTTCGTATTTGCTAGCTGGTGTCACAAAGGCATTTGCAGGTGTCTAGTGCTTGAACTGATTGAAGACATATTGGAGTCATAAAAGAGTCATGCTCTTTTAAGGTGTAGGGTGCTCACTAACTAGAGATGTCAAACTCATGAAGGCGAAGTTGGAAGATGACTTTGATAGGTATTTAAATACTAGAATTGAGAGACTAGTAAAAATTGAGATCATAGCAAAGATAAACAACAATATAAGGAAAAATAAACATTGCCTAAGAGAGAAAGTGTAACAGCTCAAACTCTTAACTATCGAGATATTGTCTGCTTTGGCCTAAGAGCCTCACGATTTATCTTGTTGGTGTAACTTCCCAGTAGGTCACCCATCCCTAAATAGCTCTAGGATGAGCACGCTTGACTACAAAGTTTCTTAAATAAATTTTCAACCATTACATCAAAAGACACCTCTATGTTTAAGAGTTTAACTTCTTTTTTACTTAAGGGGTTTCACAATAAGGTAGACTAGTTCTGTTGGGAACAAGATATCTCTAATACCATGTCAATTAAAAACCTCGCCCTTACACTTATATAGAAAATAATACACATAACACAAGGAAATTTTTAAGTAAATCAAGTAATCATATCTAGCCGAACTAATCTATAATGACATTCCTAAACTACAAATATTTAATAGATACACTACATAATTGTATATATTCTATAGCCTTAATTAGCAAAATGATAATCATTACAAATTATAATAAATGTTAGTTATTATTTGGCTAATATTGCTCACTACAACAATGGATGCTTGATTTGCACATTGTTAGATGATATAATCTCTCATCTTATGCAATTGCTCTACTAGCCAAATGTATAGCACTTAAGTGAGAACATGATCAAATTTCTCTTATGTGAAGACCATGGAAGGCATTTATTATTGGTAAAAGATTATTTTAAATAATTATTTTCTCTATTGGGTTTTATTTTAAATAATTCATTTTCTACCTAAAAAGCTTATGTCTATGAAATATAATATGTATTGATATTTCCAAGCCAATTATTTTTTTTTCATTTTGACAATTTCAAACTTTTTTAATAATAACAAAAATATAAATATTAATATAGCAATTTAACATTACAAATCTACATAAATCAATGAAGATAAATAATTTACAAAACCAACCCCAAATACATGAATTAAATCAAAATTTTAAGGGGGATTTACATACATACCACTTTACTTCATGCTATTTATATTTCTAACACCTAAAATTTTAATATAACATTATTACCACTCATATAAAATTTTAATATCAAATATATCACTTTTATATTTCATTCTTACCATCCATACCACCCTATAAATTTTAATATTTTATTTTATGCACCTATATATGTTCTATGTAATATTAAAATTTTTGGTATTAGATATAGAAATTTTATGAAATAAAGTAATATGTGTGTAAATCCCTCAAATTTTAAATAATTCATAAATATATTTATTAATTTTAAAGATGTGACAAATTGAGCTATTTCTACTGCTCTTGTCCGCTTCCTCTGTCAACCTCTATTATTTTGTATTCCACCACTGCTTCTCTCTCTCACAAGCTTCTCAGTTGTTTCCCCACCTACAGATCACCCATTTCATCAAACACCTAAGAGGCATAAAAGAATGCCACCACCTACCTCTGGTTCTCAAAACTCGCAGAACCAGATCTCCTCCCCATGGCCTCCATTCTCTCCACTCTCCTCTTCATCCTCTCCTTCACTCTCCTCACTTCCGGTAAGCTCGCCCTCTTCGTCTTCCTCCACTATCCTGTTTCTCCTCTCACGCTTCACTCTACCTCTCCGCAGCGGCGAACTCCGGAGGCAGTAACGGCGGTGGAGAACCTCCTTTCGTAGGCGTTGTGATCGGCGAAGACGTTTCCGGCCTTCTTCCTCCCACCGACCTCGCCCGATTCCTTGTCTCCCAGAGCATCACGCACGTACGCCTTTCCAACCCTTCACGTTCTCTTCTCGCCGCCCTCAACTCCACCGGTGTACGCATCCTCATCACCGTCCCAAACTCCCTTCTCCTCGCCTTCGCCTCATCCCCTTCCTCGGCCTCTTCATGGGCCTCTCGCATCATCCTCCCCTTCATCACCTCCATCTCCGCCATCGCCGTGGGCGACGACTTCTCTGCTTCCGTTTCCACCTCTCTTCTCCTCCCCGCTCTTCGATCCTTATCTTCCGCCATCTCCGGTCTCCATTCCCACATCCCAATCTCCACTCCCCTACCTTTCTCCATCATCCTCAACCCATTCCCCCCTTCCCAAGCCTTCTTCAACCAAACCCTAACCCCTAATTTCCTTCTTCCTCTCCTCACCTTCCTATCCTCCACCAACTCCCCTTTCATGCTCAACCTCTACCCTTACTACACCTTCATGCGCTCCCGCGGCATAATTCCTCTTGACTCCGCCCTCTTCAAACCCCTCCCACCTTCCAAAGAAGAAATAGACCCCAACACCCTCCTCCACTACACCAACCTCTTTGACGCCATGCTCGACGCGGCTCAATTCGCCCTTCGCAGCCTCAATTTCTCTCACATTCCCATTGTTGTGACTGAAACTGGCTGGCCCTCCGCCGGCGATCAAAAAATCGAGCCCTTCGCGAACAAAGACAATGCTGACACCTACAACTCCAATTTGATCAAGCATGTGTTGGTCGACCGCGCCGGAACCCCTCTGGTGCCGGAACAGACCGCGTCAGTCTACATTTACGAGCTGTTCAACGAGGACCAGCGGCCTGGGCCAGAGTCGGAGAAGCACTGGGGGCTTTTTTATGGCAATGGGACGCCTGTGTATCTTCTGAATGTGGAAGGGAGTGGGGGGTTTTTGGCTAATGATTCTACGAACAGGACATTCTGTGTTGCCGCCGACGGCGCAGATATGAAGGCATTGCAGGCGGCTTTGGATTGGGCATGCGGGCCAGGGAGGGCTAATTGCTCGGAGATACAGCCGGGTGAGAGTTGTTATGATCCGAATAATGTGAGGCGACATGCTTCCTATGCTTTTGATAGTTATTATCAGAAGGAAGAGAAGGTTGTAGGCTCTTGCTACTTCCAGGGGGCTGCCATGGTGACTACGACGGATCCAAGTGAGTTGTTCAGAGCTCTGGTTCTTCGAACTCTTGATTTCCTTTTCAAGTTCTACATCATGTGGGAAACTTTAATTGTTATGGTTAGGCTTGGATTCTTTTTTATGTGAATTTCCGTCATTCATCATCTTTACTCGTACACTAACTATTTGGACTGGCTATATGAACCTTCATTTTTTAGCACAGATTGAGTCGTTAAATCTATCTTTTACAAATAGTTTTGAACTAACTTCTATGCACGTAGTCTTGTATTTAACTTTTTTCATAATCCTCTTATATTAATTTTATCTAATCGTTTAATAGGTACATTTTCTATCCTTGTTTGTATATGTCCAAACCACCTATTTGACACTATAGGCTTTAAATCCTGAAAATTGTTTAACGTTATAGGTGCTTTATTTATTTAATTCTTGTAAAATATTTGACAAATATTTTTAAGATTTAGTATTTAAAAAGAAAGAGAAAATGCGGTCAGTGAGGAGATGTGCATATCTCTTAATCCTACTTCCCTCAATATTTACTAAATCTTGGATTTAACCTAAATGTGAGGATAACTAGATTCAATAATGTAGTATGATTTATATGATTCCAATAATGGTTTGATAAGATTTAGGATAAATCATAGATAAATCTTGCAAGAAAACAACCCTAAACTTATATATCCATGACTTTTTAATTGTCCAACACTTTTTAAAATTTTAAAACATTGCAACTAGAAATTTTTAAATGCCATAGAAATGATAACATTTTTTTAACCATATATTTTTTTATGTTTGCTATTTTATTGTATGCTAAACATCATTCTTGTCCAGGGCCTCCAGGCTGGTGGTTGTCTTTTACAGCCAAATGCTATTTTCTTAACATATGATTTTTTATATGTGCTGTTTTTGTTTGCATTAAAAACCTTTTTTTTTTACTAGTGGTGAATTGGATTCAGCATTTGAGTAAAAGATTAACCATTAGGAGTTATTCTTTTAGTACCCTCCTTTGAAGGGAGGGATGGTGGGGGATTGGTACATTAAATGTTCATAGTGAAATTGGCCTGCTGCCATGTTCGAGGCTTACCCCAACCTAGACATGTTTATTAAGCTGGTGCAACTCTCATTCTAGGCATAACTTTCATAAAATATTATGAAACAAACATGACCAATTTTGCCTAATTAAAAAGATAACTTGGACAAATTCATCATTAACCTTTGTGAATTGTATCAGCTTATCTTCTCTTATTGATTGTGGGCCTAGTTATAACAAACCTGGAAGGTGAACCAGAGTAGTTGCAGAAGTATAGGGTCTTTTCATAAGACTGGTTTAATTAACTGCTCAAACTTCAAACTCAATAGAAGTTTCTTTGAAGCTCAAATATTTGGATCCTTTGAAGAAGAATACCAAGGGATTTTGGTGACCACACCTTGATATGGGGAATGTGTGTGATTTTATGGAGCCAGATAGAGGGAGGAGAGAGAGGGAAACCTTGTACAAGATAGATTCAGTTTGAAGATGCTAGATTGTGCTAGATTGCACATGAGTTTGAGACTTTGAGACGTTTAGGTTTAGAATTACTTTAGGCAATCAAAGGTGTGTAGGAAGATGAGTGTTAAGGAAAATAGTGTTTTTAGTGGAAGAAGCTGCAATTGCCCTTCTTTATTTGGGTTTTGTATAAGGATGTCCTCTCACTATACCATTATGCCCATTTCCTCAACTACAACCTTATTTATGGAGTGATGAGGAATCTTTGTCCTTGGGAAAGTTGCAGTGATTACCATGTTAGCTTGTAGCATGTCTATTTCCAAGCTATGGATCTCAAAGGGAGGGTCTGCTAATGACCTCATCTCTGATATCACTCGTCTGTTGGGAAGTGATTGAGCAACCCTTTGTGATCTTTTGACCGGCATGGGTATGCCAGATGACTGCTATTCTTCAATTGTTACCTCATGATTGGCCGAGGTCTGAAAACGGAGATTTTCTGTGCGAAAATGTCTAAGATTGGGAAAAATAAAATCCAGAGTTTTCTTTACTGAAGTCTCTTTCAACCTCCTAGATGATGAAGGGCTGATTCAAAGAGAGATATTTTCAATAACTAGATCCAGCTGATGCTGCTTGGATTGAAGTTTTTTGACACCAGCATGGTAGTACTAAAGAACTTAATTCCCTATCAAAGAGTGTGCTGCAGCTCTCCATTGGAGAGCTTAAACCCTCTTCATTCATGAGGAGTAGGTGGTGAAGCATTACGCCAGGCTTGTACCGGCTCATAGAACTTCTTTTCTTCAGAAAATTGCGAGGTTTTAATTTTGTGGTACCTGCTATATAATTTGAGGGTTTTAGTTATGTTATTGGAACTTTAGGTTGCAGTTGAAACATTACGCCAGGCTTGTACTGGCTCTTAGAACTTATTTTCTTCAGAAAATGGCGTAGTTTCTCTTTCTCTCTCGTCTCAGTTATGAACATGAATTTGCATGGGCTATGAAGAGACTTACACATAGAAGTATGCCTTTTGAAATTCTTCTGTAAATGCTACTTATTTGCATTAACTCACATCAACATAACACATTTTGATCTGATATGATTTACAAATTAGCTGAAACTTAGTTTATATATTAATATGTTAAGCAGATTTATAGTTTTATTGTCCTGCCAGACGTTTCAATCAACAGCAAAAGTAAGGTTTTCCTCTCAAGGGGCTTTCCCTCTATCTTTAGGTTTTGCCTCCCTGCAACCCTAAGAATTCGCAAGGAAGACATTAATTTTAATTCTTCAAACTCTATGAATGCAATATGTTTGTGTAAACTGAATATGCAGATGTGTTTTCTCAGTTCACATTTATGGGATAAGTCTTGATATCATTTGGTAAGTATTTTATGATCTCTTATGACTCTCCCCAATATTGTTTGAATGACTTGTTCTTTAATCGTTTTAAACCATTAAAGATGCAATTTTTTATCGGGTTAAAAGATAACTTTGCACCAAGAACTGTACGAACAGCTATTTCTTGTTAATCTGAAAAGCATCTCCTTCATTGATTTAGTTTCATTTAAGTTCTCAAATGTCACTTTTAAATTTTGTTTCATTGATCTGATATCTAACGAAATAGTGGGCTTTTTGTTCAGGTCATGATGACTGCATCTTTCCTGGAAGGTGAGGCAAATTTTCATTACTATCTGATTTTTTTTTAAAGATCATGATAATAATCTACAACATTGGTTCCCCAAAGGTGATCCCTATAGGTAGGGTTATAATTGAGTCAAGCCGATTCATGTGGTGGCTTGATGAGCTAGTCTTGACTCCACTCATCTGTTCACTAGTCAACTCATTTAAAAATATAATATAAAATACACTTAAAATATATTTAACTTCAGGAGGTTTAAGTATGAAGTTATAATATTTAAAAGCTAGGTCTCACTTTCTCAACTAATTTCTTTTGTTTTATATCCAAATTTATCTTTTTTTTTAATCATTTTATTGTAGCTTCATCTGGAATTAGAATTGTATTCTCTAATTTTAAAGAAGTCGCTCATTAGTAACTGAATTTTTTAGAATTGATCCCGAACTTGATTATTTAGTCATGCTCAAGTTAAGGGTGATTCAAGCTAGCTCTACTCATCTGCATCCTGGTCATTGGTGCTAAATATGGTTCTTGGCATGTCTTAATATGATAAATTGAAAATGTCGAGCATATGCGCCCTATTAACTTTAGTGGAAAAAACACAGAATTTATTGATGCATTACTTATATTACAATTTTCTTTCAATCATGGCAAGTATGAAGAATGTTCATTCGAGGTTCCAATTTTTGGTGGGCTACAGCAGATTTTTAGTTGGTAGGCACTTTTTTATAGTTAAGGTTTCGTTTGGGACGGATTTTTACTGCTTCATAAAGCAGTTTTTAGTAAAAAATTAAAATTTTTATACTAAAAAACTGTTTTAAGAAACATAAAGAAAGTCATCCCAAACGAAGCCTAAATTTCAAAAAAATGGAAAGGGTTTCACTCATCTAGTAATGTTCTTCTAATTGCGATAGTCTGACCTGAAACACTAGTAAATCGGTTGCTCATAGTGAGAAAGTAGCTGATTTTAGAACTCTGCTTAGCAGGAGTTGGGTCTGGGATCCATTCATTTCACTTCTATTATTCTTTTACCCTGCAATATTTTTATTTCCTTGGTTACTACAGAGTTCATTTCCTGTTTATGCTTTCTTTTAAAGTATCATGATATAATTTATATTTGCCTCATTTCATTCTTAAAACTATCGAAGTCTATTATATCTTAGAAAAATGGTTGCTATATTGTCATGGCATCTATTAAGTGTCAATTTTTTTCGACTTTAAGATTTCATTTAGGATGGCTTTCTTATTGCTTCTTGAAGCAACTTTCTTGTACAAAATTTTTAATTTTTGTACTAGAAAGTTGTTTTAAGAAGTAATAAGAAAGTTGTCTCAAACAAAGTCTTAGTGTTTGGAAGTGATTGAATTGAGTCTTAGACTTCTGTTTGGGACAATTTACTTACTGTTTCTTAAAGCAGTTTAAGAAACCGCAAAAAAGCCGTCCCAAACCCACCGGCCATCCAGGTGGCCCACCCCACCTCATCCTTTACAGTGGCTTACATTGCTTATCTGACAGTAAACAGATTAGTAACATCACCAAGACTGGAAGAAACACAACAGAGAGCAGCAGTGCAGAGGAAATCTGCTGTTGGAGACTGAGAAGAGGAATGAGGGAAGGCCACCACTTCAAATTCTCAGTTGTTCTAAGAACAATAATTGTATTGTTGATTGCTTACACCATTTCCTTCCTATGTTGTTAGCTGATCACTTGGTCTCAAAGAAGATTATTGTTGATGATTTCTATGAACTTCCCTGAAGACAAAGCAGAGCCTGAAAGGTAGTAAGTAGTATTTTATTTGTTCTATTCTCAATTTTGTTCAAACTGAAGGAAGCTTGTTGAGCTTTTCCTTTCCATTCCTTTTGAATAAATCTTCTTAGCTATCTGTTAGAAATCTCTTACACTGTTGTTTTGATTTAAATATTCTGATAGGGGTGTAATTAGATAAATTATTATGCGGTCAACAGACGGTCCAGATCCGAATTAGGATGTATACACAGCAAAAAAATGACGTGGCGCATCCTGATTCACCTCTGAACGCTGTCCGGTGACCGCACTGAAATGGGTGATCTGTAGATGGAGAAACGGCTGAGTAAGCGGACAAGATCAATAGAAAGTATGAGTTGAAATATTTAAAAAAATTTCACATCTATAAAATTAATAAATATATTTATGAAATATTCACAATTTAATTTAATTCATTGATGTAGTGAGCAATGTTAGCCAAATAATAGCTAACATTTATTATAATTTGTAATAATTATCATTTTGCAAATTAAGGCAAAAGAATATATAATTAGGTAGTGTATATATAAATATTTGTAATTTTGGAATGCAATTATAAATTACTTATTAGGCTAGATGTGATGACTTGATTCACTTAAAAGTTTCCTTCTATTATGCATATTATTTTCTATATAAGTGTTAGGCAAAGGTTCTGATTGAGATCGGATAAGCGGCCAGATGGTCGACGAAAGCTCTTCCTCCTCTCTCACCCGCGCTCGAATCCCCTAACATCCCTAAAAAAAGGTTCTGATTGACATGATATCATAGATATCTCGTACCTCGAAGAGTTAGTCTTTTTTGTCTACCTTGCCCTCTTAGGCTACATTTATTTATAGAATTAAACCTCTTTGTAATCTTCAAAACTTTTTTATTATTACTACATATCAAATATTCATTCAATCAATTGATATTACTCTTTTCGTATCACTCGAAAATTCTATCATTATTTTAGTCGAAAGTTTTTGTAGAAAGCTCAAATTCATATGATATAATTAAAACGAAGACCTGCATTTGTAGGAGATTTAAAGACCCAAAATCCATTTAAAAATTAATTAATTTTCTTTGAAAAAAAACAAGAAAATCAACAACGATCATTATCTTTATATTCAAACCATGGTTAATAAGTGATAATTTCTTTCCCCAAAAAGATATATCATTTATCATCATGCCTTTGAATCTGAAATTAATGATAACTCATCCAGATTATCTTAACCAACGATCTCATCGAATATCATTTTGACCCTCCGAGGTCATATTTAGTCTCCTTTTGAATTTGACTACGATATTCAAGATGAAATTCACAATTCTGAATTTGAACACATTAGAAAATTTTATCTCCGTCTTCTGAGGTGGTATATCATTTCTAATGATATACTCAATTTCAAAATTAAAATTCAGAAGTCAATAATTTCAAACTTTACCAAATAAATTACAATTTCATTTGCTTTGTATCTTTCCAAAGCAAAGCAAGTAAAAACATTTATGAGCTTGCGTATATGCTTGATGTGCATGTTTGTGAATAATGAGTGGGCACATGAGCATATAATTAATTTATATGTGTGTGTATGAAATTTGTCTTTATGTTTGTTTAATTTTATAAAAATATAACAAAATAAGACAATAAAATATTTGTATCAAATGTAATTTTATATGGGTATAATAGTAAAAGCTAGCATATTTTTACAATTATATGTCATTTTTGGCAAGAGAAAAGATGCTTAGAAAAATAATAAAATTAAGTAGAATTATCACTAAATTTATGGTATAAATGAGCCGAGCATCAGCAAATTTGATCTGGATTTAAGGTTGGATTGAATAGTACTTTTGTTGAAGTATATCTATCATGTTATGTGTGGAGCTGTTAAACGAGACCAACAAGATCGAATATATGTTTGTTTGCCTTCAACTCATTAGGAAATGCTCATAGGAAACTCATTCAAGTTCTGCAAACCTCGAGCAGAAAACAAAGAGATCCACAATCTACATTTTGTAATCCGATAAAAAACATATTAGAAGAAGAAGAACACAACTTGACTATGAGCCCAAACAATGGCGATGACACCTGTCATGCAAGGAAAGGGCTATCACTGTCAGTAAAGGATACACGAGCAAGGCGTAAACCCGTATGACTTAAGGATTTTCATATGGAGATATGGTACAAAAAAAAATGTTTTATGTGAAAATAAAGAAATGGATATATATGGGATTGGGGATGCTGGATTCGTCGGACTGTTGAAGCGTCTGGGAGGGCGGAGAAACTGTTGTGTCAAGAAATTTTTCGAAACCATTGGCTCGTAGAAGTTTCGTGATTTGAGATTGTCAAAGAGAGTAATTATCTATGGATAATTGAGTAGGAACGATGTTCTTGAGATTGGCGATGATGAATTTTAGTGAAGAGGGAATGTTTACAACATTGATCTCTATGTGATCACCAACGCCGGATGTTGCCAAGTTCACAATATGCATAAATCTTTCTTCACTTCTGCTCTGATACCATGTAGATAAATGATATGTTGATATTTAAACAATATATCTTGTTTAAATAATTCTTTGATTTTAAGGATGACTCATAGAATACTTCATATAAAATTTTATTTATTTTAAACCTTCCTTCTAAAATTATTAATTATTCTTAATTATTTTTTAAAAGAAATAAAAAAAATATAAAATAAATTAAAAAAAAAGCTTATAAGAGAATTCCCAGATGTTAGGAATAAGACCAATAACTTATCATAAAATTTTAAGCCCGTTTAAATTTATTTAAAATTTCATGGAATTCTTGTTTGATTTAATAGGAACATTTATATTCTTTATTATAGAAAAAGAAGCATGACTTAATTAACTATGATTTAATTAAAAAAGCTGGACAATTATATATGCTTAGTGGCACAGTAGCACTGATCAAAGGTCACGGGCTTTAAGCTTTCGATATAAAATATTACCTAATAAATTAACAGCTGAAGAAAACTCCTGTTTGATAGAGCACACATACACATGCACACACACATATTAGGGGTGTCAATTACACGGCCTGACAACCGACCTGAACCCGACCTGGTAAATCCGTATTATGGTCGACCGTTTAACAAATGGATGGGTTCAGGTCTCAACTTTCGACCCGTTCAAAAAATGGATCGGGTCCGAGTCAACCCGGTCACATACACACATGCACACATACACGCTGATATATATATCCATTTCTTTATTTTCAAATAAAACATTTTTTTTTGTATCATATCTCCATATGAAAATCCTTATGCCATATGGGTTTACGCCTTGCTCGAGTATTCTTTACTGACAGTGATATCTCTTTTCCTGCATCGCGGATGTCAGCGTCATTGTTTGGGCTCCTAGTCAAGTTGTGTTCTTCTTCTTCTATCATCTTTTTTATCGGATTACAAAATGTTGATTGTGGATCTAATTGTTTTCTACTCCGATGATGGAATGATTGACCTCTATCCTTGATGTCCATGGCTGTGGGTGGGGCTAAAAAACCAGTACATACAAGAGAAAATTTTATAAGGAGGTCTTATAATATTTTATATTGATGAGTCCTGTAAGAGTAAAAATACTTAAAATGATTTCTGACGATTAGGGTTGCAAGCGAACCAAGCATTCGACGAGCTACTCGATGCTCGGTTCGATTAAAGCTCGTTTGTGATCGTTTAACACAAACTTGAATAATATTTTAAATACTCGATCATTAAATAAACAAGCTTGAACACTAATGTGTTCGGTTCATTTATGTTCATGAACAACATCATTTGATGTTCGTGAACAAACTCGGCATTAAGCTCGATAAAAGCTTGAATGGAGAGAAATACAACAGGTAAGCTTCATTTAAGAATATATTCTTATAGATTAATAATAATTTTATTTTAAATAGACAACTGCTTTTATTATAAATTTAATTTTCTGAACAAAAGACATTTCACATTTTTCCATGTTTGCTAGATTGTTTGTTTAAGATGTTCATGAACAAATTTAATGTTTGTTTGTTCAATAGATTGTTTGTTAAATATGTTCATGAATATAGCTCGTTAAGGCTTGTTTGTTTAAAGCTCGATAAGCACTAAATGAACCGAACATGAACCAAACATGAACACTCTTAAATTAAACGAACCAAACATGAACACAAACAATAAAGCTCGAATCAAACACGAACTGAACTTGAACAAGCTAATGATAAACGAACTCAAACATAAACACTTACATACTTGACTTGGCTCGGTTCATTTGCAACCCTACTGATGATCTCGCATTCAACTTAAGAAACTTATATTAGCTAGACTTGATCGTTAAACAAGCAGAACTTGCATGAATGCATTTCCTAAGAGCATTTCATAATGAGTTGAAGGAAAACAAACATATATTCGAATACTTCAAAATTACTATTCAATCCAACCTTAAATACTGATCAAATATCCTGATGCTCGACTGATCATTAAGTCATTTATACTGATCAACCTTAAATACTGCTTCCTTCATTGATTATAAATGAGCCAAAATTATAATTAAGCAGAACTAACGGCAGGAATTAAAACGTTTGCTGAACTTCGTTATACAATAAAGCAGAGCTAACAGTCATTTCGAGCAGAGCTTTCTTTGAGCTATGATTTGGTGTTTACTTATATTTATTTTTGGTGTTTTGATCTGGATTTAAGGTTGAATTGAATACTTTTGAAGTACATAAATAATAGTTAAAAATTGATAAACATATCTATTATGTTATGTGTCGAGCTGTTAAACAAGCCAAACATGATCGAATATAAGTTTGTTTGCCTTCAACTCATTATGCAATGCTCTTAGGAAACTCATTCAAGCCGACTACGACTTCTTTGACCACCGTCGCACGCCAACCACAATCTCTCTGACGACAATCGCTCGTTGATTGTGATCTCTCCGAGAACTGTGTAATGTATTTGTATATCTATTTTTGGTGTTTTGTTTCTAAATATCATTTAAACTTAATTGTCTTATGGCTTTGATATTATTTTATGTATATTTTTAATATAAGGTTTAAATAAAAAAGAGCTAGAACATTCGAGGCACTAGAGAGATAAATGGCTTAACATTTTCACTTTGTACGAATATCCAGCACACATACAAAT